CCATTGTGTATATATACCACAGTTTCTTTATCCATTCATCTACTGAAGGGCATCTAGGTTGCTTCCACAGTTTAGTTATTGTGAATTGAGCTGCTATAAACATTGATGTGGCTGCATTACTATATTATGTGGATTTTAAGTCTTTTGGTTAAAGACCCAAGAGTGGGATAGCTGGTCAAATGATGGTTTCATTCCAAATCTCCGCACTGCTTTCTAGACTGGTTGCACAGTTATGCAGTCCCACCAGCAATGTATGAGTGTGCCTTTTTCTCCTCATCCACACCAACACTTCTTGTTGTTTGTATTCTTGATAACTGCCCTTCTGACTGGAGTGAGATGAAATCTTAGAGTAGTTTTGATTTGCATTTCTCTAATTATTAAAGATGTTGAACATTTTTTCATATATTCATTGATCGATTGTATATCTTCTTCTGGTAAGTGTCTATTCAGCTCCTTAGCCCATTTATTGATTGGGATTTTTTAAGTGTTTTTTGAGTTCTTTATATATTCTGGAAATTAATTCTCTTCCAACATGTGTATGGCAAAAATTTGCTCCCAAAATGTAGGCTCTCTCTTCACCTCATTAATTGTTTCTTTTGCTGAGAAGAAGCTTTTTAGTTTGAATCCATCCTGGTTATTAATTCTTGATTTTATTTCTTGTGCTTTAGGAGTCTTTTAAGGAAGTTGGAGCCTAATCTGATGTGATGAAGATTTGGGCCTACTTTTTCTTTTTCCTCTGTCAGGCTCAGGGTATCTGATCTAATTTCTACATCTTTGATCCATTTTGAGTTGAGTTTTGTGCATGGTGAGAGATAGGGTCTTAATTTCATTTTGCTGCATATGGATTTACAGTTCTCCTAGCACCATTGGTTGAAGAGGCTATCTTTTCTCCAGTGTATGTTTTTGGCTCCTTTTTCTAGTATGAGATAACTATATTTATGTGGATTTATCTCTCTGTCTTCTATTCTGTACCATTGATCTACATGTCTGTTGGTGCCAATACAAGCCGTTTTTGTTTCTATAGCTTTGTAGTATAGTTTAAGGTCTGGTATTGTGATGCCTCTTGCTTCACTCTTCTTGCTAAGGATTGCGTTTGCTATTCTGGGTCTCTTTATTTTTCCAAATGAATTTCATGATTGCTTTTTCTATTTCTATAAGGAATGACATTGGGGTTTTAATTGGAATCGCATTGAATCTGTGTAGTGCTTTGGGTAGTGGGGCCATTTTGACAATATTTATTTTGCCTATCTAAGAACATGGGAGATCTTTTCATCTTCTAAGGTCTCCACCAATTTCTTTCTTTAGTATTCTGTAATTTCCATTGTAGAGGTCTTTCACCTTTTTTGTTA